CAACAACTCAGGGTTTGTCCCATCGTCACCTGAATGCAGTGACTAATTGCATTTATATAGTAGAGTTTTCCTAAACAAAAATATTTATTTTTAAAATAATAAAATAAAATAGAAAATATCTTTAATGTTTAAAGATATTCATAAAAGATATACAAATCATATATTGAGATAAATTCCAAACATCACATTTTGGTGGTTATATTGTAGTATTCTGCATCTCAAGGGGTTTTCCTAACGAATCATTTCCAACATTTTTTTTTGCCTAAAACCTGTGTTAACAAGAAACTATTTGATACGTTTCGATAACATTTTTTATTTTTGCATGCACTGATACACACTGCCACATACTGATACACACTGACACACACTGATACACACTGACACTCACTGACACACACTGACACTCACTGACACCTCAAGAAGCAGGCGTAACAACATTTAATAATTGTTTATTAAGGTTTTTCTCCATGTGTCTGTAAATGTTAATCAATACACATCAGTATCAGGTATAATGTTTTTAAAACACAAAGAATATTAAAGTAATAGTAAATAAAAATGTTAAACTAAGCAGGAAGCTGATAACCCGTTAAAACAACAACAGAGTAAACCGATTACAATGGAAATAAATTCAAACTTTATGTGAAAAATACAAGATTTAAAAGTTATTCAATTAAATTCAAAACCTTTATTCATCCAGGTGAAATCCCATTGAGATCAATGATCTCTTTTTCAAGGGAGACCTGCAGCAGTAGGTTCCACAAGAAGACATAAAAACATAAACAACAGAACAACAAAAGGACATCATACAGCATCATTACAGGGATTACAATTTACATATCTAACCACATGTACACCAACAGCATCTGATTTTGTAGCATCCAACCGAGCTTTAAAAACATGTAGTGGTACTAGCTTGGTCATTGTCCATTCTTTTTGCAGACTGTTGCATGTTAGTGGAGCTGCACATCTAAAAGCTTTCTTCCCTAAGACAGTCCTAGCACTTGGCACATTTAATAAAACCACAGCATGCGATCTCAGGCAATAAGTACTTTCAATTCGCAGAGAGATCAGGGAGCAGATATAAGATGGTAGTTTATCCAACATGGCTTTGTAAATGAACATGTACCAGTGACTGAGCCTCCGTACAGTAAGTGATGGCATAACCGCCTTGGCATACAGGGTACAGTGATGAGTAAGTGCTTTACAATTAGTAACAAATCTCAGAGCGCTGTGATACGCAGCATCTAACTTGTTCAGGCAATGGGCAGCAGGTGCATTCATATACATCAGATCACCAGAGTCCAGCACAGGTCAAAAGGTCACAGAGCCTTTTCCTGGCCTCAAGCGAGAAACAGGACTTGTTCCTGAAAAAGAAACCTAGTCTAACCCTCAGCTTTTTAAGCAGGTTATTGACATGAAGTTTAAAAGTGAGACAGTCATCAAGCCAGATACCTAGGTATTTGTAACAGGTAACCACTTCAAGTTGTATTCCTTGCATAGTTACAATATCCAAAGCAGTCTCTGGTGTATTTTTAGCTTTAGCTTTAGAAAAGAGCATTACCTTTGGTTTTATCCACATTTAAAAGAAGCTTTAGCTCAGAGAGCTGAGTCTGAATAATGTTAAAAACAGCCTGTAATTTAACAACAGCCTCGTTAATCGAGGGACCTGCACAGTACATCACGGTATCGTCCGCATAAAAATGTAAGGTTGCTCCTTCGACATTTTCACCCAAGCTATTAATATATATGGAGAATAATAGCGGACCTAAAACAGAACCTTGAGGTACACCATTAGTGATGTTTAACCACTCAGAAGACAGCCCATCAAACTGAACACATTGGGACCTTTCAGAGAGGTAGTTCAAACCACCCACTAAATGGCTGGACATGCCTATATGTTAATCAATACACATCAGTATCAGGTATAATGTTTTTAAAACACAAAGAATATTAAAGTAATAGTACATACAAATGTTAAACTAAGCAGGAAGCTGATAACCCGTTAAAACAACAACAGAGTAAACCGATTACAATGGAAATAAATTCAAACTTTATGTGAAAAATACAAGATTTAAAAGTTATTCTTTTTCCCTTCAGCTGTTGATCTTCTTTAATCTCCTTATTCTCATATCGGTTGTTCTGATTAAAATAAACGTTCCATTAGTCTGAGTTATTGTTTAACGTTTAGAAACGTCTCTATCATCCAGCAGGAGCCACGTATCATTTCAGGACACTCAGCAATACAATCCATCATTAACAAAAGTCACGTAGAGTTACAAATCTCAAAGAAAATAACATGAAGAGCAGAAAAAACATTTAGCAATAATCTGATATTTGTAAATGATCATAATAGAAAATAAACTTTTAATAAACTTGCAGGTTTAATCTTTTACATTGGTGGTAATGGTGTCAGGACGTTAATGATTTCTGCTCAAAACAATCACACTTTCACATTTCATCACATGGTACATTTGACTTCCTGTCCAACAGAACATGCAGATTGCTCCTGCAGGAAGATGTTTGAGCAGGAGAACAATAAAGCTTTATAACTCATTGATTAACACTAGAGCTCTAAGTGCGGGTCTATTTGGACTTCATGTGTTGTATCAGTGACGGAAGAAGTATTCAGATTCTTTACATTGGTTAACGTTATGATACCACATTGTTTAGATACTGTTACAAGTAGAAGCCCTGCATTCAAAACGTCACATAGGTCAAAGTATGTAAAGTATAATCTAAATGAAGCTATAGTGATAAATGTAAAGGTACCCGATGCAGAAGAGTAAAGAGTAGAGTCGTGAAGGAAAGAGTCCAACATTTCACTTTGAACTGCATTCCACCTCAGCGCTGGGTGGACCGGGTTCTCTCATATTCCTACAGAACCTCTGATCCAAACCGCCTCACACGGAGCAGCAGCTCCCCCTGGTCCATAGCAACACACATGCCAAACAGGAAGTAGATGGGTCCCAGGGCTGGTGAGATCCTCTCAGATATGAAAACACAGACGTCTTCCAGTTCGTTGATAGATCTCCTCTTGGTCTTGCTGGCATCTGTTTGGTCTTGGTTTGGTTTTGATCCAAAGGATTTGTGATCCCTATGGACTCTGGAGGAGCTTCTCTCGGCTCTCCTTCAGCATTTCTTCAAGACCAACCATCTTGCTTTGAAAAATGTAATCTTTCACGATTAAAAAAACAGTTAAACGATAACTTTGAAAGAACAGAAAATAAAAAGAGATGTCCCATGAACATCATGGTCACTTGGTTGTGTCGGCCATCAAGGACTCTTGATCACTATCACTCACATCCTGTCTTGTTTAATTTTGTATTTACACGTCTCTTCTTTGAAATCATGTTCAGCTCTTGTCTTGGTCTCAGTTGGAGCTGGTCTTGATGTTGCCCTCAATAGTATATCATTCCTTCTCTTAATGTGGAAGCATTGCTCAGGCACTGGACTCGTTCCTCCCAGCCTTCCTTGGCCTCAGCTTTCTCTCCTTCAATAATCATACCAAAGTAGTCTGGAGGATTTTGAATCAGTGCTATATGTTTATATCTCCATTTGATACTCCCTTATTTCACCAAAAGGTCTCGAGTGAACAAATAAACCGTCCAACAGACCATTTTGACAATTATTTTGCACAAATTCATATGAGATCGCGAGCTGCTTTCTTTCTCTGAGGACTTCCTTTGTCATGGTCAAGCTTTTGGTTGTTATCTTATCTAAAGCAACAAAGAACGTCTTCATGCTATTGGCCCCCATTTTCCAGAACATCTTTTCAAAGCCTCCCTCTTCCTCCTCTCCACTGGAGTCAGCAGCAGCAGATGATTGGTTCTGTGCAAACAAGGCAGAATTATTGAATGTGAAGTGAACTGGCAGCCCGTCTTCTGTTTCAGGACATGGGACGCCTGAAGCTTTGATCGCCTCCAGAACTGGTGGGCGTTGGACGTCTGCGAATGTCACCAGAATCTGGATGTTTTCTTCCACATCTTTGCCAAAGATTGAGAGCACAGAATCAAACACATACTTCTGTGTTGCTGTGAGCTGAGCTGAAGAAGCTGGAACTACAAGACACACAGCGTCAATTTCACTGACGCCACGCTCAGTAGAGAAGAGATTAAGAATCTGTTCTGTGATCTCCTTGTCTCTTTGTATTTCTCTTGTATCTCCAAAGCCTGATGTATCCACAACGGTCAGAGAGAAAGGGGATTTTAAAGCCCTCTTGGTGGTTGATGTTGTACACAGTGACTTCAGAGGTCTGGCTCTCAGCTTGAGATCTCGACTGATCCTCGTCAACTAACTTGAATCTGAAATCGTCCTCCCACTCTACACCAACGATGTAGTTGATGAGTCCATTGATCAGAGTGGACTTTCCAGATCCAGTTGCTCCAACAATCATTATTGTACGATTTTGCATCGTACATTCATTGCCAAAGGTGTACCTCCGGCATCCATCAACGTCCATGTCTTCTTCTGTCAGAGGCAGTTTGTAAACTGAGGGAGATTCAGAGTTGATCCTCTTGCTTTTACTTATGAGGGATTCTGTGAGATGTGCACGTTTAGTTGTGCGGACATTAACAGCGATGCTTTCTTTGCTTCTTCCAGCTGCACCACAATCACACCTGACCCTGACAGCGTATTCTGTCTCTGGCTGAAGTCCTGAAATGATCGCCTTCTCAGCTCCCGCCATCATTTGCTCCCAGTGGAGATCTTCCTCTTTCCCCTGTTGGTCTGGTTTGGCGTACTCCACGATGTAGCTCAAAACGTGGACATCTTGTCCGAGCTCAGCAGGTTTCTCCCAGCTGACTGATATCTCACCTGAGGTAGATTCAACGTGGAGTTCTCCAGGAGGGCTGCAGGGTAAGGTTTGAATGGATCCACTGACTTCATTGGCTGGCCCGGCACCTACTGGTGTCTCTGCCCTGCATCTGAACCTGTACTCTGTGTTAGGACTCAGGCCGCTCACTGTGACTTCTTCAGCTCTGGATGCTGTCTCTTGTTTCCAGCCGTCCTCTCCTCTGACACAGTACTCAACAGATTAGGAGGTGATGTCCTCTGCTCCAAATCTGGGTGGAGAAATCTCCAGCGTCACACTGTTGTGGTTTATATCACTTCCTGTTACTGCTGCAGGCTTTGAAGGCGGCTCAAAGTTCTCGTTGACAGAAAAGCCGTCTGTGTAAAGGTAGATGCTGGCACCTTTCTGTGTCTCGTTTGTTAAACCCACCGTCAGAAATGTGATGTTCTTGTTCTCCTTGTTGGCCTCTGCAAAATCACTGAAGAGCTTTGCTTTATGCCGCATTGCTTTAAATGTTCTTCTTGAGTTGTACCATTGATCTGGAGGGTGTGGATCTTGGGCATCGTCTGGTTTGGGTGTTTGCTGAAGGTAGTTTGATAAAGTTGAGAGGTACGGTTCATCTCTTCCCAGCGAGGTGAAGACAAAACACACAGCCTGCTCTGCTTTGAAGCTTTCTTTGTACAGGTCTATTTGAGATGAGATGATCTTGGTGGTTGTCATCATGTCGGTCAGAGACATCACGGTGTAGATTTCTCTCTCCTTACAGTCCATCCACTCGTTCAGGTCCTTGCTGTTGAAAGGAGAAGAACATGTCTTCCTCAGTTCCTCTGCGAGCACAGCTTCTTCTTCTCCTCCTCCTCGGATTGATGGAAGTTTATTTGCCAGGTTTCGTTGGAATTCCAGTTTGAACTGAGAGCACTTCTGTTTGAAGGTTTTGAGTTTTTCTCCAATCTCTGGGAACTGCTGTGCAGTTTTGGTTCTCAGTGCATCATTGCACCTCATCTCCAGGTCACTGAAGTCCTCCAGGACACTCTGACATTCTTCAACTAATCCTATACTTATCTGACGGACAAGTTTAGCGGCAGTAGAATCTAAACATGTCAGAGGCAACAGCCAGACCTTCACTGGTACTGCGTTTTCCCCGTTGGCTCCCAGCAGCTTTGGCAGACTTTGGTACACCTCTACTGCCTCCTGAAAGGTTGTAGGAGGTTTCTGAACGAAAAAGTCTCCATAGAATCTGCAGGACAGTTTCTCATCATTTGCTTTGTCCTTGTCTTCCATTTTCAGCGAGCCTTCACCCTCTATTGACAGGGAGGGAATGTTCTTGATAATCACCTTCAAGTTGCCCTGAATGTCTCGATGGTTCTCGTTGACAGACACCTCACGGTCAAAGACAAAGAAGGCTTGTGCGCCATAAAGGATACCTGTGACTACATGTGTTGCTATTCCTTGATCAAATACATATGGATGATCCACATTGTCTCTCCCAAGATGATTCATGGACAGTTCTTGGAACTTTGTGGTAGCTTGGTACTTCAGTGTTACTCTAGATTGATTTTTGGAAGTCTTAGTATCGTTCAGGTATTTGGCTGATCCACCAACCTCTACCAGTCCACCCAAGAAACTCGCCTTCAGAGATGCTTCAACATTTAGTGCTGAAGATTTGTCCTCAATTGATTCAGATGCAACTATATCAAAATTATTATAGCTCTGTGGTCTTACACTCCAATATTCTTTTTAAGGTCCTCACGGTCCCACAAAGTCATTCCTGCAAAAGAAGAAGTAAGCAAACATCAAGCTAGAACCAGATTAAATGTTAATACACACTAACTTTTGGGGAAAGACATAACAAAACAAAAAAGTAGAATGCATTCCTGTCAGCAGGAAACACCTGGATATGTTCTTCTATAGGTTGTTAAAATTAAGATGGCCACTTCTCATCAACCTATGGAGCCGTGAAACCCCAACTGCTCCCTGCACCATATACTATACTGAACGAAAGATGAGGATTCCCTCAGTTGTCTGTGCTTCCTGTATAGTTCCCTGAATCTCACCACTGTTATGCTGACGACACGCAGATTTACTCAAATGTGTTGGGTAATATTAGTACTCTCCATGACTGCCTGTATGGAGGGCTCAACATTATAAATGGCCCGCTTGCCCGGAAGCACTATTTAGACACCCCGAGCCAGCATAACGTTTCCCCTTGCCTGGTCGGGCCACTAAAAATATTGCTTTAAAAAATGGTCCTGTGGTATCGGTATTTTGACAAGAAATGTTGTTAAATTGTTTTGTTTATTAACGCTACAACATAGCGTTTCGTGAGGCGGTTGTTGTTGTTGGATGAAAAGCAAACAGCTGTTTGCTGCGGAGTACAGCGCAGCGCCAGCATGCTCACGTGGGAGCTTGCTCCTTCACTACAGACTTTCTCGTCACTTAACCATTCGCCAAAATGTTTTTAATACCAGCGGTAACCTGCCAAGCGCCGGGCAAAAAAACCAATCTTCAAATAAAAGGAAGACACCGGAGGAGTTAAAGGAGAGTGACAGGGAGTATGAGAAGAAGAGGGAGAGAACGTTTCAGCCACACTGTCTTGATGGATGGAGTTGGCTTCGATATGATGATATAAACAGCCTGTCTTCCTACAAAAAACGACCATATAGGCCGATTGTTCAAGCCCTTATTACGACCCAGAGATACGTTTTAAAGTGCATGTTGTTTCTTACACGACCACTAGAGGTATCTAGTGGTCGTGTAAGAAACAACATACTCCCGGCCCGTTCATTGCAAACGCTCCGGAGGGACGTTTATTCACAAATAAACCTCTCTGGAAAATCCTAAATTGTAGAATAGTTTGGCCATTAAAATGCTTTTTGATTCGATTTCTGGCGAGAAGTGTATATTGTACTCTTAGAATCCACATCCTGTCGATGTGTAGGATCTATAGTTTGATAGATATTACGAAGATGATCTGAGGTCTCGCCAGGATAACGTGTATGCAGCTTCCATTTAAAGTTAGCGTGGGTGAAAACTGTTTTTCCGGTCTTGAAGTTTTCATAATAAAACCGGATATACTCCCGTCACTGTCAAATGATTACACAGTGATATCTGCATTACTCATCCACTAAAAAACATCAGTTTATCCTTGTTAATTACACAATATTGATTGGTTTAAATTGTGTGCAATGCTTTTGTGTTTTTAACCTTCGATTCAGAGAAACAAATAGTTTTTTTTAGGAGTTTAGACACTACAAAGTTTCCGAAGACACTACACTACCCACAATACCCAGCTATCGTTTGGGACTACAACATCCGCCTTGCTTTACAAACCCTGTGATTAGTCATCAAGCCCTGTGATTGGATGTTGGAGTGGCAGTGCGACTAGGTTACGCTGAGCGTCAACAGCTCTTTGAAATGGAATGGAACCACGGCAGACTTTCCAAAACTGGAATTGGACGGGTCCAGCCCCCGGGTCCAGCCCATACATCCATGATCCAGCCCCCCCCCCCCCGTCCCCCCAGAACTACACATGCTGGCTATTGTGTGTTTCGCAACATGTTCTCTATGGCACGTCTCTACTGGGCATTGTAGTTTTATAAGACGTTTTCGTATTTCCCATAAATAGAAGTTGCCAGTATTAAACTGTGTACACCCTGGAGGTTTAGGGGATACGAAACACATAATAATAAAAAATTCGATTTATAAAGCACCTTTCATTGCTAACAGCAATCCCAAGGTGCTACAGGAGGCATAATAAACATAAATAAATAAACAAAAGTTGAATCAAAAGCTGTGAATGTTGTTCATTGATAAGCCTGAAACATGCACTTGTCAAGGTTCAGAGGCACATTTTGCAAATATGGCAGTAGCCATCGATCTGCAGCCTTTGACACCATCTCTCACAACATCCTCCTCACCCGCCTCTCAGACCTCCTAGGTGTCACTGGCACAGCGCTGTCCTGGTTGACATCCTACCTCCAGAACAGGAAACAGTTTGTCTCCATCAGTGGCTCAAACTCACCCCCGGCCCCAGTCCACCACGGTGTACCCCAGGGCTCTGTGCTTGGCCCCCTCCTGTTCACCATTTACATGCTCCCCCTTGGCCAGATCATCCGACATCATGGACTCAATTTCCACTGCTACGCTGATGATACCCAACTGTATCTCAGCACCACTCCATCCTCCCAGCTCCCCCCTCAGTCTCTCTTCAACTGCCTGCATGACATCAAAACATGGATGTCTTCCAACTATCTTAAGCTGAACAGCAATACAACAGAGCTCATGGTTGTGGCACCCAAGGCCCTGCTCCAGAAGGTTGGTGACTTCGTCCTCGAGGTCGACGGCTGCTCCATCTCCCCATCTCCTGAAGCCCGCAACCTGGGTGTCATCCTCGACTCCACCCTTTCCTTCCATTCCCACGTCAAATCTGTGACCAAATCGGCCTTTTACCACCTGAGGAACATTGCCAGACTCCGACCGTCACTCTCGGAGTCGGTTGCCGAAACCCTAGTGCATGCGTTTGTCACCACCCGCTTGGACTACTGCAATGGTGTCCTGTTTGGGGTTCCCAACAAAACCCTGGACAGGCTCCAGTATGTCCAAAACTGTGCTGCTAGGGTACTCACATATACAAAGCCGTGGCAGCACATCACTCCCACCCTCATCCACCTCCACTGGCTGCCGGTCAAGTCCTGCATATCCTACAAAGTCCTCCTCCTTACCTACAAGTCCCTCCATGCCTTTGCCCCCCAGTACCTATCGGACATCCTTCACCCACATGCCCCACCCCGGAACCTGCGGTCCTCAGACTCTGGCCTGCTTACCACCCCCCGCACCAAACTGCGAACATTCGGGGACAGAGCCTTCAGTGTGGCAGCCCCCACCCTCTGGAACGCTCTCCCTGCGGAGATTCGCAACATCCCCACACTTGACGCCTTCAAAAGGCCCTCAAGTCCCATCTGTTTGCCAAGGCTTTCGGCCCCTAACTCGATCTGTTGTTTTGTCTGTCTGACTTTTGTTTTGTTATGTTTGTTTTTGCCCTATTACTTGTAAAGCGACCTTGGGTCCCTTGAAAGGCGCTATATAAATCCAAGCTATTCTTATTATTAAGATAAGATATACTTTATTGATCCCAAGTTGGGAAATGTTTTTGTTACAGCAGCATACTACTTTGTTCTACTCCACTACACTTCAGAGGTTAACCTGGTATTTTTACTCCACTACATTTATTTGAGTTACTTTGCAGATTCTGATTAATGATGTGAAATATAAACAACCCTTAAAGCAGACTTTAGTTACACCTGAGTCAGATTCAGGGAAGGTGATTGTCAAGTGACAAAATAAACTATGCAATATATTGGACGTTAAATACTTTGTCAGACTTCATATTTATCTGTGGATAACCCCAACATGTTTTTTTCTTATTCAAAAAAAGACCTTAACTTAAAGTAATCTTTAATGTTTAAATAAAGCCTTATTAGTTTGTCTGTTTTGCATCCTCCTGTTAATATCTTTGGACGTCCTGCACTAAACGGTTTTATTGTAGAGATCACTACAGTGTCTTCTTGATATGATCTATTCTATATTTCTAGCATGCCTTCTACTTTCCCCCTATGAAAGTATGTACTCTTAATATTTTTTTCATCAAATAAAACATAATCTCAACAAAATATAACATCATTTCAAAAAGAAAATTCAATAACGTTTTTTAACCACTAGGTGTCCCTTTTCTATCAGCTGTGCACCGTTATGGTGTAAATACAGCCTATCTACCAATTGGATCAAATATAAAAGTCAGCAGAATTAGTGTTGATACTGCAAGGAGACGTGTTGTGTGAAAATAAATGTAAGATGTTGTTTAATTGCTGATATATTTATGACCCACGTCACGTATTCAGTTTCGGCGGCTCTTCTTCCTGTTTGTCCAGAAGTCTTCTCAGCAGGGCTCTATAAATAAATATCTACGGCAGATATGTAATATGTAATGCAGCCGAACCTGTGTATTACAATGCCGTTATGTGATGACCTTCAAAGAGAGAAGCAAGAACACTCGGAATAAAGTATTTAAAAAAATAAAAATTCGATTTCATTTCGCATGAACACCATATCCCGACATGCATTGCGGCTAAACAATCGATATTTTAGCCTATCAAAACCTCTGAAAAAAGAAAGGTGTCTCTCAGAATCGAAAGAGAAAAACCTATGGGAAAAACACAAAAGCATTGTACACAATTTAAACCAATAAATGTCGTATAATTAACAAGGATAAACTGATGTGTTTTAGTGGATGAGTGCTGCAGATATCTCTGTTAAATCATTTGATCATTGGTTTTATTATGAAAACGTCGAGACCGGAAATACTGTTTTCAACCCGTAACTTTACATGGAGGCTGCCGCATGCCTCAAATCATCTTCGTAATATCTATCAAACTATAGATCCTACATATCGACTGGACGTGGATTCTAAAAGTACAATATACACTTCTCGCTAGAAATCTAATCAAAAAGCGTTTTAATGGCCAAACTATCCTACAATTTAGGATTTTACAGAGAGGGTTATTTGTGAATAAACGACCATCTGTAACGTTAGCATTCAACGGGAGCACTAGAGGGCGAACACTTTAAAACGTAATTATAGGACGTATTAAGGGCTTGAACAAAAAACACATTTGGTCGTAATAAGGGCCTGAACAATCGGCCCATTTGGTCGTATGAGTTGGAGGACTTGTTGTGATATTAACAAGGTGTTTTGTCGGCTCTGTACATCAATGCCGACCTATGCTGACAAGTAAGTGAAGAGTAGAACATATAAAGGTATTGGCTTTAGGGAAATGTCCCAGCAGTTTACGATAATGAAGGATCTAATCTATTACATAGCCATTACATGTCTAACTCCTAATGACAGGAAGGCAGAAAGCACATTATACAAATAATAATACTCACAATAATGATAATAGCAGAATTATTTTTTAACAATGACCACAATATAATTATTTAATAAACCAAATATGAACAATTGAGGAAAATGAGGAAGAACTGATGATTTGAATGTTGTAGTTCAAGTAGTAATGTAGTTAGTGCATAAATTACTATTGCAACAAATGTCTTCATTATTAGTCGATTTTTTTTGGACGAATGCTCTTGGGCCAGTGGTTACGATGGTGGGGCCAGTAATAATACAATTCCACTGGCCTTCCGGGACCCTTAATGTCTACCCCTGCTTTATGGATGTCACTTAACCTTCTTGATCTAAATTCATACAAACCGAGGCCTTTCTTAGTGTTCCTGGTAACTTTGTCTCTAAATCCTGCATCAGAACCGCGGCCCCCAACGTCAAACCCTGCTCAGGAAACCTGGCTGTGATCTTTGACCAGAATCTGAACCTCACATAAACAAGCTAGTCCAAACCATAGACTGGTCCAAACCTGCTTCCTCCAACTCGGCAACATCACAAAAGTCAAATCCATGCTATCAACCAGACGTCTGGAATAACTGATTCATAAAGTTTTATCGAAGTGTTTCTTCCAAAAAGAAAATGTTGTTGTTCTGTTTTTAAAAAGGTGATGTTTTTTCCTCACCAGGGACGAGTGAGTCGTTGCGGCAGTCGTACAACATCCCAAGACTGAAAGGCCGTCCGAGCGCCACCACCTCCATCGTCCCCCTGCCTGCAGAGGCCATCGCTCTGAAGGAAAGATTGGACAACAGTTTGTTAGCTCACAAATACAGAAGTCTGAAGTAACAATTAGACTGATGCAGATACCAAGGTCTTATTGTTCCTGTTGTTTTTCCCTTTTTGTGCAAGGGAAACTGATAAATCATTTTGATAAGAAACACTCCAGTGTTTCAGCTCCCTCCATAGACTGTATACTGTAGAGAGGCTCCATCACACTTACTCTAAATGAGCACACATTCCTAAAGATGTTTTGAGCCTGCAAAACACTATCCTACTCAAGGAGAAGATTATAATGACCAACAGTCAGTGGCTGCCTTTGTGTTCTGCTATAATCCATAAACATTATTCTTTATGACTACAAAGAGACTCAAAACAACAACAATTGGAACAAAAAGACTGCAAAGAGACACTAACAAATGCAAAGAGACTTAATATGACTACAAATTGAAACAAAACGTTTACAAAGAGGCGCAGTGGCTCAGTCTGTAGGGACTTGCTCTTGGAACCCAAGGGTCGCCGGTTCATGTTCCAATTGGACCGGAAACAAAATTGGAGTAAGCTGGAAGCTGGAGAGGTGCCAGTTCACCTCCTGGGCCACTGCCGAGGTGCCCTTGAGCAAGGCGCCTAACCTCGAAACTGCTCCCTTGGTGCCGGATGACTGGCAGACTCTCTGCTATGCATGTGGTTGTGTTTGTGCATGTATATCCTCCTGAGGGATTAATTAAGTATGTCTTCTTCTTCAAAATGAGACATTAACTTCAATGAGATGAAAAACTTTAAAATATATATTTGTAACATCCCATCAGCCTCCTGTCAGCTGCTGGTTCAAACCTGCACCATGCTGCCCTCTGGTGGCTGCTCACACAAACTGCACACAGCCTGACATCACAAACAATACCCATGATCACTGACGTGCAGTCAGGTGGGGCCACTGGTCTGTGCTATAAATGTATTTTCTGTAAGATTCCAATCATTTCGATCATTTTTATAGTAAAAATCGCTGAAATGGCGTATTTTCTGTTCCTAAACGGTGAGAGATGCTGAGCCTCACCTCGGATTGCAGATAATGCAAACAGAGACTTCACTATGCGTCCTGACTCTCCATAGTCTAGCTCAGTGATTCCCAACCTGGGGGGCGCGCCCCCTTGGGGGGGCCCCCCCCAAAGATCGCAGGGGGGGCGCCAGGCCTCAGATGATTTGAGGCCAAATATCATATTTATAATTTTATTTTTTTTATAATTTATTTTTGTACATATAATTGTAACGCAATACATGATTGTCACTAAAAGCCTTGTCTCTATATTACAATAACATATACAAAATAGTTGATTAATTAATTTGAATACAAATTCAAGTTAGTATTAAAGGCATAAAAAGACAGAAATGTATAATTCTTTCTTTGATAGAAATGTTTCTTCTGCCGTAAAGTGTCCAAACCAGGCTTTTCTGGATAAGCGCATTTTTAAAAACATAGTCATTGTCCATGCCGGCTTCAGATTATTTGTCACAGTTGCTCCGATCAGATCGGTCTCCTCCATTTAGAATATTTACGACTTTTGAATCCACATAAACACATCGGCAAAATCCGGCTTACTTTGAGCATGTGTTTTAAACAGTTTAATCCCTTTGTGAATTGTTTCCACTTCCGCCGTCCTTTAATTTCTTCATACAGCGGGAATCCAAATGAATGAATCCTGAGTCCAATAACCATCAAAGTCACTCCAATAGTGCTCCTTAATTACGCTTCCATCCTCCTTTAACAAAATACTTCACATTCATCCAGTTTGTGACAGTAGTTGTAGCATTTTTGAGACTTTTAAACTTTAATTACCGCTGCTGCGGTCCCCCCCCCCCCCTTGTGTGTGTGTGTGGGGGGGGGGGCGCAACTTCCAACAGGAGTCATTTGGGGGGGCTCTTGGGAAAAAAGGTTGGGAACCCCTGGTCTAGCTATTTATGACATATTTAGTCTTGCTGATGTGACATAAAAGCACAGTAACAAGACACAAGGTGAGGCAGACAGTACTCAGTGAAGGGGGCGCCCGTGAGCCCACAGGTTCTTGTTGCTACTGTTATTCTAATCTACGCAGAGACGGTAGATACAAACAACAAGCTGGACCAGTGACCATTGTAGATAATTCTCATATGATTAAGTTTGTCCTTTGCAGCCCACCGTAGCTGGTGCGCCACCCGGTGACGTGTAAAGGTAATAGGCATTCAGTTGTTTAAAAAAAAAAGAAAAGTCCACTGACCGTGCTAACTGGCACAGCGCTGTCCTGGTTGACATCCTACCTCCACAACAGGAAACAGTTTGTCTCCATCAATGGCTCAAACTCACCCCCGGCCCCAGTCCACCACGGTGTACCCCAGGGCTCTGTGCTTGGCCCCCTCCTGTTCACCATTTACATGCTCCCCCTCGGCCAGATCATCCGACATCATGGACTCAATTTCCACTGCTACGCTGATGATACCCAACTGTATCTCAGCACCACTCCATCCTCCCAGCTCCCCCCTCAGTCTCTCATCAACTGCCTGCATGACATCAAAACATGGATGTCTTCCAACTATCTTAAGCTGAACAGCAATACAACAGAGCTCATGGTTGTGGCACCCAAGGCTCTGCTCCAGAAGGTTGGTGACTTCGTCCTCGAGGTCGACGGCTGCTCCATCTCCCCATCTCCTGAAGCCCGCAACCTGGGTGTCATCCTCGACTCCACCCTTTCCTTCCATTCCCACGTCAAATCTGTGACCAAATCGGCCTTTTACCACCTGAGGAACATTGCCAGACTCCGACAGTCACTCTCGGAGTCGGTTGCCGAAACCCTAGTGCATGCGTTTGTCACCACCCGCTTGGACTACTGCAATGGTGTCCTGTTTGGGGTTCCCAACAAAACCCTGGACAGGCTCCAGTATGTCCAAAACGGTGCTGCTAGGGTACTCACATATACAAAGCCGTGGCAGCACATCACTCCCACCCTCATCCACCTACACTGGCTGCCGGTCAAGTCCCGCATATCCTACAAAGTCTTCCTCCTTACCTACAAGGTGACCCAACGGCGTCCTAGCACGAAGTGCGAGGAACCTATTGTTATTGGTGGAATTATTATTTTTCTGCTGGCGTTTCCTGTTTTTGAGGTTTTCAGGACGCTGACAAAGTTGTATAATTTTGCACGGACGCCAGGACTGGTGAAAAATACAATATTCTGGAGTCAATGGGTTAAATATTCCAACGTGCTCGCTAGCGCCACCAATGAAAAACCCATTTCGGAATAAATGTACAAAGTCGCACCGTAACTCCAAATGACCTGACATTTTGCACATATATCCGGGTGGACCTGCTCTACAAATAATCTTCTTGGAACCCTAAGCTCCGCCTACATTATTTTGTATTTAAATTAGCATAATGTTCAAAACAGTTAAATATTCACTTAAATTTCAATTTTCAGTTTTTCAACACCAAATTTCGTATACAGCATCGGTGGAAGGTCAGACACATTGCCCTAGGAGATGAGCATGTTCAAACGATAAATATTTCCGCCATGAATTAAAACGTACTCGCAAAAAGGCGGGGCTTAGAAATAAATGCTCATAACTCTTCAACAATGTATCCATTCACCACAGCTTTTGGTGGAAAGGTTAAATCTGTTTTGGGAAATAGGCACACCAAATACATTTAATTTAGGACTATAGGGGGCGCCAAAAACACCACCAATTTTTAACTCAAGAGCGGATGGATGAATTATTATTTATGTTTTTTACACATACTCTCGGGGTGACTACGAACTCAGATTTAAAGTGTTGCAACAAATTCAGAATGTGGGCGTCGCCTATACATTTTTTTTAAAATTGCGATAGCATAAAATGAGCTTCGGACGCAAAACTTGGGACACACGTCAGAGCCCACGACCTTTTCGAGAATGTAAAAAAAAAAAACGTACATTTAAAAAAAAAACTGCTCACTAGCGCCCCCTATTGTGTGGTAGTCGCATATAGTTTCTCAGAACTTCACGAATTTTGGCACAGACATTCCTCATGGAATTGCGGACATATTTGTATATACATTCCATTAGTCCCGCCCCCCAAAAAGTCGGCCATTTTGAAAAATGTGCGTTTTTTATGCATTTTAAGCACATTAGTGCAAACTCCTCCTAGGGGAATGATCGGAAAAATTCCAATCCAGGACACGTTCAGCCCCTATCCAATATGATACTTAATTGAGAAGAACATTTTTGATAGCTCAATCGTGGAGGTCGTAAGCTAACAGCGAATACACCATTTTTGATGATTTACATGTCGCAAATTACTCCAAACTACTCGAATATAGTTAATCCGATATTCACGGAACGCTGTATACATATTGCTATTATGATTGCACACATATTTCAAATTGCTTTCCATTAGCCCCGCCCCCCAGAAAGTCGGCCATTTTGAAAAATGTGCGGTTTTCAGCCATTTTACGCACGTTCTTGCGAACTCCTCCTAGGGGAATGATCGGAAAAATTCCAATCCAGGAAAAGTTCAGCCCATTTCCAATGTGATGCTAAATTGCAAAGGAATAGTCGATCGCTCAAACGAGGACTTCGTAAGCGAACGGAGAACTTTCCATTTTTGACGATATACATGTCACAAATTACTCCAAATGACTCCAAACTACTCGCGTATACTTTTTCCAATATTCACGAAACGCTGTATACATATTTCTATTATGATTGCACACATATTTCAAATTCCCTTCCATTAGCCCCGCCCCCCAGGAAGTCGGCCATTTAGAAAAATGTGCGTTTTTCATGCATTTTAAGCACATTCTTGCAAACTGCTCCTAGGGGAATGATCGGAAAAATTCAAATCCAGCACAAGTTCAGCCCCTATCCAATATGATGCTAAATTGAGAAGATTTTTTTTTATAGCTCAATCGTGGAGGTCGTAAGCTAACAGCGAATACACCATTTATTACGATTTACATGTCACAAATTACTCCAAATGACTCCAAACTACTCGCGTACACTTTTTCCAATATTCACGAAACGCTGTATACATATTGCTATTATGATTGCACACATATTTCAAATTGCCTTCTATTAGCCCCGCCCACCAGAAAGTCGGCCATTTTTCATGCATTTTAAGGACATTTCTGCAAACTCCTCATAGGGGAATGATCGGAACAATTCCAATCCAGGAAAACTTCAGCGCATATCCAATGTCATGCTACATTTAGAAGGAATAGTCCTTCGCTCAAACGGGGAGCTCGTAGGCTAACGGAGAATGTACCATTTTTGACCAGATTTTTATGTATTTATTTATCATTTATTTTTTCACACTAATTTTACCTGCATGTCGGTTTTTCGCAAAGTCAACCTCGGTCCTTTTAGCCAGATGTTTTTAATCCACTCACCAGGTCTTTTACCAGATGTTGTGGGACACAGCCTTGGACACCCCACCGGGGGGGCTCCCTCGGGGGGGCAGGAGTAAAGGTTTTAACCCCGCCACATACGCTCTGTGCTTCAGCTAATCTCTTCTATCCCTTTTATTGCATTTTCTTTACAACATGTGTCCCCTCTTCTTCATGTCTCTTCTACATCAACATGTGTCCCCTCTTCTTCATGTCTCTTCTACATCAACATGTGTCCTCTCTTCTTCATGTCTCTTCTACATCAACATGTGTCCCCTCCTTCTTCAATGTCTCTTCTACATCAACATGTGTCCTCTCTTCTTCATGTCTCTTCTACATCAACATGTGTCCTCTCTTCTTCATGTCTCTTCTACATCAACATGTGTCCCCTCTTCTTCATGTCTCTTCTACATCAACATGTGTCCCCTCTTCTTCATGTCTCTTCTACATCAACATGTGTCCCCTCTTCTTCGTGTCTCTTCTTCGTGTCTCTTCTTCATCAACATGTGTCCCCTCTTCTTCGTGTCTCTTCTACATCAACATGTGTCCCCTCTTCTTCATGTCTCTTCTACATCAACATGTGTCCCATCTTCTTCATGTCTCTTCTTCATCAACATGTGTCCCTTCTTCTTCATGTCTCTTCTACATCAACATGTGTCCCCTCTTCTTCATGTCTCTTCTACATCAACATGTGTCCCCTCTTCTTCATGTCTCTTCTACATCAACATGTGTCCCCTCTTCTTCATGTCTCTTCTACATCAACATGTGTCCCCTCTTCTTCGCGTCTCTTCTACATCAACATGTGTCCCCTCTTCTTCGCGTCTCTTCTACATCAACATGTGTCCCCTCTTCTTCGCGTCTCTTCTACATCAACATGTGTCCCCTCTTCTTCGCGTCTCTTCTACATCAACATGTGTCCCCTCTTCTTCACGTCTCTTCTACATCAACATGTGTCCCCTCTTCTTCGTGTCTCTTCTACATCAACATGTGTCCCCTCTTCTTCGTGTCTCTTCTACATCAACATGTGTCCCCTCTTCTTCATGTCTCTTCTACATCAACATGTGTCCCCTCTTCTTCATGTCTCTTCTACATCAACATGTGTCCCCTCTTCTTCACGTCTCTTCTTCATCAACACGTGTCCCATCTTCTTCATGTCTCTTCTACATCAACACGTGTCCCCTCTTCTTCATGACTCTTCTACATCAACACGTGTCCCCTCTTCTTCATGTCTCTTCTACATCAACACGTGTCCCCTCTTCTTCATGTCTCTTCTTCATCAACACGTGTCCCCTCTTCTTCATGTCTCTTCTACATCAAC